GTCTTATTAATTTTAAATTTTTAACAAAAAAAAGTATATAATATGTATAAAGTAAACTTTCTTTTGTATACAAAAGTTATTATAGCAAGTGGTACATACATGCATATATACCTACTAATTATTTACCTATTAAATATATTCTTTTTCCATTTTTTAGAAGCTGTAAAACTTTCATATTCAGGAAGAGAACGATTTTGTAATATTCCAAGCGATAAAAGACTGGCTAAAATTAAGCAAACACCGGCATCTGTATAACAGAGAAAAAATGTAAAACCCGTAGATACCTTATTTTTATTATAAGTTATAACTTTGTTTCCTTGTCACATTTGTGCAACAAATTTGTTTATTTAAAGAATATATGTTTTGTTTTTTTGTATACGAGTTATTATTTCAGTACCGTGCAGTAAGAACAAACTTTTTAATTATTTTAGGTCACTTAAGGACTAATACATTATATAGTTTATACAGGGTGTTTCATAACCTCTCTGACAAAAAGTAGGAGGTGAATTCTCACTTAATGTATTTTTCGAATAAAATTAGGTGAGAATTTACCTTATTTTTTTGTCTAAAAGGTTACGAAACATCCTGTAAAGAAAAATAACCCTTTCATTATACGTATAAATAAATAAGGAAAAATAACATTTAATACACGTATTTGGTATACGTATAAAACCTGTAAATGTAAACTGCTAATATACGTTTACCATTTCATAAAAAAAATCATATATGTATATACGTTAATGAAATGAATATAGAAATCTGTATATATACGTTGAAGTCGCGGACATTTTGCAGTTTATTAAACGTTTCGCATATACAACGAAGTGACGGATGGTAGTAGATCGTTTTAAACGTTTAATATACCATTCTGTGTTGCTTGGGCCCTAATACTAAAATCTTAAAATTTTGATTTGAAATGTTTTATTCCGGTTTTCACAAAGAAAAAAATTCAAATTTTGAATCTGATATTAGATTTAAAAAACAATCAATTTTCGATAAAAACCACTATGTTACATAGTTTATAGTAAATTTGTTTAATTTATAAAACTGACAAAAAATCAAAAACTATTACTATATACTTTTCTTTGTATTTTATAATAATCAAACACAACCTCTCTGAATAATTCCGAATATTTATTTTAATCGCTATAGTTAGGTTCCTACCATTTCTCTGCTAAAAGTCTTAAAAAGTCTTATTAACTCTTCCAGAAGACTCTTGCTATTAGTCTGACTTACTAAGACTTATTCAGATTTTTCCAACTTAATAAGTCTTATTCTGACTTTTTCTGACTTAATAAGTATTATTCAGACTTTTTAAGAGAAAGTAAGACTTTAAAAACGCTTAATAAAACTTCCTCACAGAAAAATTTCCACAAGGGCGTTTATTAAATATGTACTGGTAGTTTATACCCAAGCAGCATTTTTGGTTCCAAAAACCATTGCCAAAGTGGTGATAACTTTAAATTAGTTAAGTATACTAAACAGCTACTTTAATTTTTACTTAAAACTAATTCTAACTTTTAAATAGCAATATTTTGTAACAGAAACTTAATTTTTCCTTAAATTGTTACTATAAAGTAATAAACATTTAAGTAAAACTTGGTTGCCCCCAAGAAGACTTTGCAACTTTAAAAAAGATGTTATAAGTAAAAAAAAACTTTCAAGTAAATTTAATTTGTAGCAGTTACTTTCGGTTGCTACCTAAAGATTACATTATAATTATTTTTACTTTGTAGTCCCTTTGCAAGTTAAAATCTCGAAACTGGAACATGAGTTAAAAACTACAAAGTTAATAACTTAAAAGTTATTATTTTAGTATTTGGAACGTTTATGGTACTAACCAAAACAACCGTAAAGTGGAAAAAAACTTTAAAGTAGCGAAAACTACTTCAAAGGAAAATGCTTCTTATCGGCCATTTTTTACTGTACAGTACCACGTGGTAATGTAAATAATAAATTATTTTAATTGTTTGTAAATGGTTGTTTGCTTTTTAATAAATAGAAATATTGTTGGTAATAGACGGTATTAATAATTAAATAAAAAAAATAATAATAAATATTAAGATTTTTTTATTTATAAACATTACTAAATAAATAATTTGTTTATACTTAAATATTGATGAAGCGCATTTATTTTACAAAAACTAAATTCATAAGTTCAACAGTAAAATTTAAAGGGTTTATAAATCTACCTGTCTAATTAAATATTATATTGTTATTCTGGAAGTTATAAACTACCAGTACATATTTAATAAACGACGACATTGAAAAGCCAAGTCCGTAGTGGTTCCATTTAAAAAAGGAGGGATAGTATAATCTAAAATAAGTTTGACAAAGACAGTTAATATAGAAGTAAAAACAAATAATAAAAGTAATTATAACGCTCTAGCAACGATATTGGAACGTTCTAGTAACGTAGCAGCTACGTCCCAAATAGTAGCAGGGTTGGTAGCTAGTGACATATTTGCTACCTTTTTGGAACTCAATAATTGTTCCCTACTTTAGTCGTAACGTAGTAATGAAAGAGTAATATAAAGAGACCGGCGACTGTCGCAAAACACTTTGAAGTTTTTTCAATAGTCCCATATACGTAACAAATACTTAAATTGTTGCTTGGGTAACTTCCAGAATAACCTTATAATATTTAATTGGGCAAATAAATTTATAAACCCTTTAAATTTTACTGTTGAACTTATGAATTTAGTTTTTGTAAAATAAATGCGCTTCATTAATATTTAAGTAAAAACAAAACAAAAAAAAATCTTAATATTTATTATAATTTTTTTATTTAATTATTAATAGGTACCGTCTATTACCAACAAGATTACTATTTATTAAAAAGTAAACAACCATTTATAAACAATTAAAATAATTTATTATTTACACGTGGTACTTTACAGTAAAAAATGGCCGATAAGAAGCATTTTCCTTTGAAGTAGTTTTCGCTACTTTAAAGTGTTTTCCACCTTAATTTACTTTACGGTAGTTTTGATTAGTACCATAAACGTTCCAAATACTAAAATAATAACTTTTAAGTTATTAACTTTGTAGTTTTTAAGTCATGTTCCAGTTTCGAGATTTTAACTTGCAAAGGGACTACAAAGTAAAAATAATTATAATGTAATATTTAGGTAGCAACCGAAAGTAACTGCTACAAATTAAATTTACTTGAAAGTTTTTTTTACTTAAGTATAACACCTTTTTTAAAGTTGCAAACCCTTCTTGGGGGCAACCAAGTTTTACTTAAATGTTTATTACTTTATAGTAACCATTTAAGGAAAGAATGAAGTTTCTAAAACAAAATATTGCTATTTAAAAGTTAGAATTACTTTTAAGTAAAAATTAAAGTAGCTGTTTAGTATACTTAACTAATTTAAAGTTATCACCACTTTGGCAATGGTTTTTGCAACCAAGAATGCTGCTTGGGTATATTGGCATAACATTTTACGCCAATATATCATTAAAAATGTTTATCCAAGGTTGGCCCTATATTGCCGTAAAATGATTATCTAATATATCATAGTCAATGTTTTTGCTAGGTTGGCCCCATATTGGCCTATAATGATTATTCAATACTTCAATGGTTGCCCAAGGTTAACCTAATATTAGCTCTATATTATCGTAAAATGATTTTCCAATATATCATTGCCAATGTTTGTTTAAGGTTAGCCCTATATTATAATATAGCATAAAATGATAATTCAATATATAATTACCAATGTTTATACAAGCTTAAAAAATGCAAACTACCTTTTCCTATTTTTTAATTTTAAAAAGAATATTAATGAGAAACGTTAATAATAATTTAAGCTATAAAAATGCATGAATGCCATTTCCACGAGGATGAAATTTGCGAAATAAGCCTAAGGCGAGTTAAGTAATTCATCCGACTGAACTAGAGTGTTATAGAATAAAATAAAATGTTGTTAAAAAGTAAAATAATTAAGTCGAAATTCTAAACAAAAAATGGCACAATTTTTAAAATAGATTTTTTATTAAACTTATCTTAACTTGACTTGTTATAGGTAAAGATCATGTATTTTAATAAAAAAAAATTATTTAGAAAAATACATCTTAATGTGCCCTAATGGACCACTACAGATAAATAATATATGTACTGTGTCTATTTATATTTACAGTCTTTTTACGAATAAAATATAATTTAATATTTCAGTCTCTTAAATTAATTATATATTCTTCAAACACTTTTTTAAAATCTTTGGTTTTATGTTTCTTTATTTTTGCTGTTTTTCCCCTATTTCTAGTTTTGTGATTGTGTATTTCTTCCTGTTTTGTTAGGTTTATGTCGTTGTCTATAATTTCTCCCTTGTTCAGCTTATGTAATATTTTTAGTGTTTCAAGTATATGTAATTCATTGATTTTCAAGTATTTTGTTTTTTTATATATTTCTTTAATAACTGTTTCCAGTTTGATGTTATGTAAGACCCTGATTACCTTATTTTGTAATTTGTATATTTTTTGTTCTTTTCTCTATATGTATTGGGTAGCATTTCTTTTCGTTGATTGTCAATTTGTTTGTGTTTGTCCAATTTTGTATTGTTTCTATGCCTTCTTCTATTTTATTGTGTACTTCTTGATCTGTTCCCTCATAGAACATAGGTTCCCCATTTAATTTGTGTATTGTTAGGTCATTTATGTAGATGAGATAAAGAAAAGGCCCAAGTATTGATCCTTGAGGTACTCCACAAATTACTTTTAGGTTTTTACTTATTTTAAATTATTAAGTTTTTATTTTGAAAATTACATTAAAAAGTGAATTAATTTAAAAAGTCTGACGTCAGTAGTACTGACTCAGTACTCTTTTTTACATTTTTACATTTTTATAAAAGACTTTTTCCAACTTTGCTCGAAGCTACTCTTGGCCGTATTTTACCAAAAAGCCAAAACACTCGAAGGTTCGGTGTTGAGCGGCCTTTTCAATTATTCATTGTTTCTTTATTCCGTGTCAATAATTTATTTAGTTTTTTTTTGTTTTACAGGTCAAACATGGCATTATCTACGCACTACTTTAACATCCGACCTAACAAGCCCCAAAACAATATCCGAATTTATTCCTCAGATAGAGGCGATTGCGGACGACTGGTGTAACCTGCTCACTCAACTGAAAGACACAAAAGGCCAAATCGACGACATGCACCAGGTAATCGGCCGTTTGGGCCTCGAAGTAACTTGCGCCCTAGTCTTAGGCAGAAGGATGGGATTCCTGATACCTGGACAAGAATCCGATTCAGCTCAAATATTGGCGAAAGCAGTACACGACCACTTTTTAGCAGTTAGAGACACCTACTTCGGTTTGCCGTTCTGGAAATTATTCCCCACGTCGGCCTACAAGCAGCTGGAACAAAGCGAAGAAACTATCTACAAGATAGCCATGGAATTGATTGAAACAGCTGACGATTCCACCAAGGAGAGTGCGATTTTTCAATCAGTATTAAGAGCGAATGTGGATAGCAGAGAAAAAACAGCTGCCATTGTTGATTTTATAGCTGCTGGAATACACACTTTAAAAAACAGTTTGTTGTTTTTGCTATACCTAGTAGCAACCAATATAAATTCCCAGAAAAAAATCCTTGATGATCATTCAAAAAATTATTTGAAAGCTTGCATAAACGAATCGTTTAGGTTATTACCGACGGCCAATTGTCTTGCAAGAGTTACCGAAGAAGAATTAACATTGTCAGGTCACAAAGTTGATGCAGGGAGTGTTTTATTATGCCACACAGGTATCGCATGCAGAAACGAGAACAATTTTACAAATCCAAACAATTTTATCCCTGAACGATGGCTTGATGAACAAAAGAGCATAACGTCAAGCAACGCTACGTTTTTGGTCACCCCTTTTGGGGTTGGAAGACGCATTTGTCCCGGAAAAAGGTTAATTGAACAAGTGTTGCCCATTATCGTAGACGCCACTGTCAAAAAGTTTCACATTAAAGAAGTAACCGCCCTGGAATTGCAGTTCGAGTTTCTTTTGTCTGCAAAAGGACCGATGGCCATGATTTTTGAAGAAAGGCGTTAATAATGTTTGTTTTTTATTTTTAAAATGTGATAGTTTCTTATAGTACAAATTATTTTTTTATAGTTCATACCATTATATTTACATTACAAACTAAATACAAGCTGTATTAACCAAGATTTTTTTATTTATAAAAGAATATTAATTATTATTACCAAAATATTTTATAGAACTCGCGAAAAAAATCCAAATAACTATTAATTTTTATTACCTACATAAAATTCCTATTGTTTTAAAACAGGCCTTACATTTACGTTCATAACTACACTGCTGAAAATGACGGATGTTTGCGGATGTAAATTCCGAACGAAAGCGGATGAAAATTACATCTACTTATATCTGATTTTGACCTCTTTGCTGCATCCGAGAGCACCAGGTTTGGTATTGCTTTTTACATATAAAAATTTTTATATATAAAATTTTTATATATAAAAAGCAATACCAAACCTGGTATGGTATACCATATATGGTTTGTGCACCCCCAAAATTATCTGCAATCACCTGCTCTCGACCGACTCTACAAGGTTAGCCCATGTATGCGTTGGTCCGGTTTTATACACGATTGCCTGCATTGTGTTTGTCTATTGAAGAGAGCAAACGCAGATATAAGCACATGGAATAAACCATGCTTTGATTGTATGACTATGGAATAGACTCTATTCCATAGTCATACAATCAAAGCATGGTTTATTCCATATGTTTATATCTGCGTTTGCTCTGTTCTCTGCATGTCCACATTGGTCCGGTTTCATCGGCAAACATCTGCATATTTTCGTCAGTTTTATCAAAATTACCCACTTTTATATAAACCTGGTACGTTTTTGAGAAACAGCGTGTTAAAGTTTTAATACCAAATCAGTTGTTAATATTTAGTCGTCTTTTTACAGATTGTAATAAAACCTGGTATTAGCACCCTTGCGGCCTTGAGTGACATTTGTAAACGGTAGTTAGACGGTGAATTCACGCACTTTTTACAGACGGACTTGGCTTTTCAATGTCGTCGTTTATTAAATATGTACCTACTGGTAGTTTATAACTTCCAGAATAACAATATAATGTTTAAGTAGGCAGGTAAATTTATAAACCCTTTAAATTTTACTGTTGAACTTGTGAATTTAGTTTTTGTAAAATAAATGCGCTTCATTAATATTTAAGTATAAACAAATTATTTATTTAATAATATTATATATATGTTTATAAATAAAAAAATCTTAATATTTATTATTAATTTTTTATTTAATTATTAATACCGTCTATTAGCAACAAAATTACTATTTATTAAAAGTAAACAACCATTTACAAACAATTAAAATAATTTATTATTTACATTACCACGTGGTACTGTACAGTAATTTACGATGTTTTCACAGTAAACTCACAGCGCGTGATTTTACGATAAATTTACGGTACTTTGACAGTGAATTTGCGGTGATTTTGCAAACTTGAGTTCACCGTGAATTTACCGTGAAATCACCGTGAATTAACCGTGAAATCACCGTGAATTTATCGCAAAAACAGCGTGAGTTCACCGTTTAATTACCGTCTACAAATGTCACAAATGGACGGTATATTCACTGCACATAAACGGTGTATTCACGGTGAATTCACGCAAACGGTGAATTCACGGTGAATTCACCGTAAACTCAAGGCCGCAAGGGCAGTTGCAATCAGTGCTGCCACCTCTACCGATTTATCGGTAGATCTACCGATTTTCGAATATATCTACCGATTCTAATTCAAAAAATATCCCGATTTTTCAAAGTTTTTAAATATGTATATTTTTGAAATACAATAATTCGATTTGGTTAAAAATGTAATTTAGTTTGCTTAAAACGTCTTAATTTTTTTAAATTTCTACAATATTTAGCGACATCTAGTGTTGCACTTAAAGGTCATAAAATAGATACAGTATAGAGTATAATACAGAATTTTACAAAATCAAAGGCATCCTTCTTTATCTCTGATCGCCTGTGATCACAGGTGACAAAATATAAATTTCTTGGTAGCTACCTAATTAATATTTCATATTTTTTAGTTTTTAATTATTTGTTTTTCAGTTTTTAAATATTGGTTTTTAAGTTTTTAAATTTTTTTAGTTCGTAAATCTTTGTAAAAAAAGTTTGTACAAAAAATATTCGAAAGCAAAAGTTTAACTTGTTTTATTAATCAGCATAAAACATTCTAGCAGACGCCTATATAGGCGCATATGGCGCTACCGAGTTTAGACCGAAATCTACCGATTTATTTCTCGATATAATATACAGGGTGTTTCTTTTAACTTGAGACAGCTCAATATCTCAAGAAATATGCATTTCACGGAAAAATGTCTTAAATAAAAGGTTAATGTGACCAAAGGGGACATTATTTGGTGCTACCGCTAGCCACCCCCTACCCCTCCTTATGTGTGAAACGGGGGGTAACTTTGGAAAGTCAAAAGGGATGACCCGATTTTTTTCACAGATTTTGGTAGTACATAAAAAAAATGAATAACTTTTATTTGAAAGTTTTTTTCAATTTATCAACAGATGGCGCTGTAATTCAAAATTTAAGAAAAAGGGGTTTCCTTGTAAAATGTATTATTTGAAACGTTTGAATAACAAAAATTAACATTAAATCAACAATAGTCGGCTCTGAAAACAATTTATAACAAATGTTCAAAATGTCGTCCTTCCATTTCGACACCAAGTGGAGCACCAGCGTCCCTGGTCGGTAAACGTTTGGTGCGGTACCTTAAGCGAACGATTAATCGGACCCTTCTTTATAGACCTATCTCATAAAACAGACTTTTGGATAGCGCGTGCCTGAAGAAGAGTGGTATCTCTTTCTCTTTTATATAATTAAAAAAAGACGACCTGCCTTTTCACGCACGCGCTATCCAAAAGTCCGTTTTATGGGATAGGTCTATTGACGGTGCATTAAATGGCGAAAAGTACCGGAATTTTCTAGAAAACGATCTGACGGACCTTTTGGAGGATGTACATACCACTAGCACGACTCCAAAACATGTGGTACCAGCAAGATGGTTGTCCTGCACATTATTCGGCAATTGCTCGAGAGGTGTTCGATCGGGAGTTCAATGGCCGGTGAACCGCGGTGGATCGGTAGACGTGGTCCAGTAATTTGGCCTGCTCGATCACCTGATCTTACGCCACCAGACTTCTACAACTCGGGAGGACATGGTGGAGCGGATCAGGAACGCCTGTGCGGCGATACCGCCCGACATGTTGGCGCGTTGTGTGCCAGAATTCATTACCCGCATTCAAAAATGTGTTGAAATGGAATGACGACATTTCGAACATTTGTTATAAATTGTTTTCATAGCCGACTATTGTTGTTAATGTTAATTTTTGTTTTTCAAACGTTTCAAATAATACATTTTAAAAGGAAACTCATTTTTCTTAAATTTTGAATTACAGCGCCATCTGTTGATAAATTGAAAAAAGTTTTAAATAAAAGTTATTTATTTTTTTATGTACTACCAAACTCTGTGAAAAAAATCGGGTCATTCCATTTGACTTTCCAAAGTTACCCCCCGTTTCACCCTTAAGGAGGGGTAGGGGTGGCTAGCGGTAGCACCAAATAATGTCCCCTTTAGTCACATTAACCTTTTATTTAGGACATTTTTCCATGAAATGCGTATTTCTCGAGATATTGAGCTGTCTCAAGTTAAAAGAAACACCCTGTATATTATACCGACGTCAGTCGGTAAGAGGGTGGTAGCACTGGTTGCAATGGAGATCTTTTAATGTAATGTAATGTAATGTATTTAACTAAATAATTCCGTTGGAGTCACATAGTAAAAATCACTGTAGGTATAGGTACCTCCACTGTTTTTAAAAGTTTAATATTTGCTTTAGATTAAACAAATAAAATTTTTATTTAATAATTTCACTTTTAAAAAAACTCAAATTTCATTTTTTTTGTTTTTGGCTCTGTGGCAAGCGAGAAATAAGTTTATATATAATTCAATATTTCCTCGAAAATAAATATAATTCAATAATAAAAGATTTTTTTGAATTGTTCAACTAAAAAAATAGCACCAAATTTGGTATAAGGAAAACCTACCATTAAAGTTTTTTAATAAATTATAGTTTTAGAACATGTTTTTTTTCCTTTTTATATATATTTGGTAAAATAAATAGGTACATTTATTATTTTACCTTTTAAAATAAAAAAGAGATCCCAATAAAAAATATATAAAAATGTATAAAAAAATAATCAATATATTTTCCTAAAAATATATATATATTACATTATTTTTAAAGGTAATTTAATAATAAATGCCTTAACATATTATATCGATGAAATATGCAAGCGCGGATCCAGTGAGGGAGGATATGGGGGTCACGAATCTCCCCTAAACCAATTTACTATTGTATTTTTACAAAGATCTAAAAAAAATAGTTTTGTTAAACTCATCCCACGGTAGGCGACCCCCCCAAACGAAGTTTCTGAAGCATGTATTATTAAATTACCTTTTAAAATAAAAAAACGCAATGGTCGATTTTCCTAAAAACCTGTGCAGATAAAACCGTATCAATGCTGATTAAACCGGACGAAATTTCGTCTATTTAAATAGACGAACATGGACGTAATGCATGTACCTAAAGACGATCAACATCGGATGATTGAAGATGTCTTGCTAATTAACTTAACAAGATACAAGTATAACCGCCCTCGGTGGTGTAGTATGTATATACCCGAGTATATATATTTAGCTAAAGTCAGCACTGCGGACTACAAGCCAGGAGGTCGTGGGTTCAAATCCCACCAGGCTGTTTATTTGTGTTTGTCAGTGTGCATTCCTGTAATTAGGCCTGGTGCCTGTTGGAAGCACATTTTAAGTAATAATAATAATAATAATAATAAAAGATAAAACAGGTCGAAATTAGATAGAACAAAATAAGGCAAACGCAAATAAAATCGTTCGAAAATATATAAACGAAATGCAGGCAATTATGAATAATATCGGAAGAACGCAGACGTTTTTGCAAATAAAACCGGATTACAGGTATAAACCTAAATACAGCCTTTGCGGATGAAACAGGACAACTGCTGGCATAGAACAAAATTCAGGCAAACGCAGATAAAACTAAACGAAATCAGATAATGCGGATGAAGCCAGCCAATGCAGACATGGATTATTTGCAAGCAAACGCGGGTGAAATCAGACAAAATTAAATTTGCACCCCGAAAGCAAACGTGCTGGATGAAATCAGACACTGCAGGCAAGAAAGGCCATAACCAGATGAGAACTATCTTGCTTTTACATCCGCTATCACTTGTCTTTTTTAGCAGGGCATTGTTATTTAATTAGTTGACTGGAGACTAGAGTGTGCTGTAGAGAATGAGTTTTGTCCACATGTAATACCATAATATACTATATATATATATATATATATATATATATATATATATATATATATTAAATATAGTAATACTATACTATAATAGTATTATTATATTATATATACTATGGTAGGTATATATATAGTATTATTATTATGTATATATATAAACAACTATGTTTTTGAAAGTTTCAAGTGATTTATTTAATTTTTGACAATTGTTTCTTCACACAGTGACTTCTGAAGAAGTTGAAGAAGTCACTGTGTGACGAAACAATTTTCAAAAATTAAATAAATCACGTGAAACTTTTAAAAAGCATAGTAGGCTATTATTCACAAGGATGAGGTTTGCACCTCGAGCCGTCATGCGAGCGACGTAAATAATCCGAGTAAATAATGCGCATTATTTCGAGGGTAATACTATGTTTTTTCTACTCAAATTAAGTCATTTTCATTGATAAGCCACTTTTTTTATATAACCTCACTTTTTACCGATTTTCAAGATTTTTATAGTTGCCCCTCGTAAATATAAACAAATCTGACATCTGTTAACCTTACTTTTTCCCAATTTAAAACTCGATTGGTTCAAATAACAGTGAATATTGAATTCAACAACGTGAATAATGATTTCAATATTCCCGTTGTTAGGCCGGGCGTTTATATTGGTTACCATTATTTACGAAAAAACCCAAATGTCAATAATATGCAATAGGAGTGGAAAAAAGTGTTTTAAACCGTTTTGGTGCTATTTTCATTATGTTTAGTCCAATATTTCAACTGAAACTTTGATTATTACTTAATTACTAAAATGATAAACATACATGTAATGTTTAAAACTTTATTTTAGGTGTTTATTACTTACAAAACTAAGCATACATACATATTTAAAAACTTAATATCCCAACCGATCATTTAGACTTGTCCTCCCATCTCCAGACTGATTTTCTGGAGGAACCCACATGGAATAATCATCTCTGGAAGCATCTTCTTCGTAGCCTTTTTGTTTTTCAATTTCAGCCCTTTCTTGACGCTGATGAATACGCCTTTGGTTTTTCTTTTTCTTCTTATCATCAGTTTCATGTTTATCTTCCTTATTGCTGGATCCAGCTGAATTATCACTATCTTTGGAAGATGACGGTTGTTCTTGTTGTTTGGACAACCTGTATTTTTTGTAGTCGTTATTTATGGCTTCTGACATAATTTTTATGTCGTTGCCCATTTGCTTCACCTGGCCTATGACTTTGTATTTTTGTTCGGTCATTGCGTTAAGTTCCGACAGTATTCTATTTAGTTCCGATGACACTTTATGTTCTAATTTATCGTTGGGTTCAGTGTCTAAATCGGAAATTAACTTCATTACTTTTCTCTTTTTGGCGGCCAGCATTTTCCAGTCAGCATGCATTCTGTCTTCATTGGCTGCTAATTTTTTGAGTTTGTCCAATATTTTCGTGAATTGTCCTTGATACTTATCTGAAATTCAGAGTTTTATTTTTTAGTATAAACCCTATAAAACATTTTTTTTGTTTTGAGTCTAGGTTGCACACAATTTTATTATATAGATCTTAAAAAAATTTAAAAAAATTCCAAAATAATAAAGGGTTTCCCAAAAATGCCGCACTAATACCATCCATGAAATCGAGGAAGTTATTTTGAGTACCTATAATTATAATACCCATTTTTTTTGTTTGACAGATACATCAAAGAAGGTTCTTGTGGAAACAATTCAAATAAGGCAGCTGAGATTAACCACTTTGGTATTAACTTTTTATTATTACCCATACAGCACAAGATGTCCATTGGACGTCAAATGGACTTACATTGGACGTTTGGATGTACAATGGTCGTCCGCTGGACGTCCAATGGATATATGTGCTGTCTGGGTAAACGTCATAAAAAAATAAAAAAATACTTTTAAAAGCCTTATAACTACTAATCAAAATTCTATAATTTTTAAATTTAAACCCAATGACGTGTTATGGCGTTAGTGCGCTAAAAAGTGTATTGTATTTTATTAGTTCGTCTTATTTATAACAAATATTTTAATATTAATTGCACACGAAGTTAAAAAAATAATAAAGGGATTATTTAATATCAAAGTTAAATAACATTTAGATACATGCTAATATGGTTGTGAAAAGTGCTGTCGTAACAACTTTTATGGCTATATGCACACAACTTTTTAAACAATGACTTTTTGAGTAAGGAAGAACGATGAAAATGTGCCGAATGTGAACTAAAAAATGGCGAGGAATTAAAGAATTTAAGCAAATTAGTAGGTTATGTCAAAGGGAAACATCAAAACTTAGAATATACCTAAAGATGAGAACAACAGATAAAAGGGTAAGGCATGCTGTTTTTGCGCAATTTTTTGGTTCACTTTCGGCACACTTCAATCCTCCCGTGTTTCGTGTCCATTCTTTTTAATTGTCTAAGCAATATTTTCCTTAAAAAAATAATGTAACTGGTGGTAATATCGTACACGAAGTAAAATATCGCGCTTTGTTGACACCGGTAGAGTACTGACGGACAACTGGCCGGAAGCTACACAGGGGATAGCGAGCCTCGCACCATTATTTAATACGTGGTAAAGATTCTTAGAATCGGTGGGGTTTGGGAAACCCCACCTCACCAGTTACTGGTTAAATCTGCGAGACCTCTTAAATCTTGCAATACCAAGATTGCACATTTGGCTGCAAGATTGCATTCCCTAGCTAATACCATCCAAGTTTGCCAAATAACAAAATGGGTAAAACGAACACAGCGAAGTAACCGATACCGGAGTCGTAAACTCTAACTTTATAGTTAATGAGGACCCAATTGAAGTGCCAAGAGATATCCGTGTTTTGCTGTAAATCATCACATTCGGACTTTTGTTACTCTTAGTATTAAAAATACAAAAGGCATTTCGAAGAGGACTAAAGAAAACCCTGTCTCGTAGTATGGTTCTCAGATCGCAGGCTGGTGACGTTTAAAGTTAAGTATAAATAATGGCGCGAGAATTCCAAATGTACCAGACTACCATCTAACCGTAAATCCAAAACCCACTGCATGATAGCCGTTAGTGTCTACCTTCTGGATGTTATAACATTTGGTATGAAGATCCCCTACCCTCGTAGCGCATGTCTATATAGAAGCCCCACCCAACAAACTGCTGCCCCAAGGGACCAGAAATCCTTCTCTTCGGATGCAAGTAACGTTAGTGTGGGATCAAGGTACGTGCTATTACAGTTTAATAACCTTTCGGAAAAACTTTAATTTGGGATTTTGTTCAGTTATGTAGTTTTAAAGTAGAATAAGTCGTAGATAAATAATGTTAGGGAAGTCATTTTAAAGAGAAAAAAAGTCAAATATAAATTTTTATTATATCATATGATAAATTTTAAATTATTTTATTAGTTAACGATATGTCTGCCGACTGGGAACGGACCTTTGCTCACCTTGTCGAAATTAAAGATTTTATAATAAAAGAGTCAAAAAGGGTTTTAAAAACAAAATTGCCAAAATCGGAGAAGGTTAAAAACGAAGTTACGGATAATCTGTTACATCTTTATAATAAATTTATAAGCATTACAAATCAATTTTATTTAACCTTAGACGAAACAAAAAGACACCTAATTAAAAAGCTTTTTGCGACAGTTAGTAAGAGCATATGAAGTTTTAGGGGTAGATTATAAAATTCCCAGCTCGTGTCTGGAATGTATTAATCCTAATATTAAAGACGAGATATTTGACATTACGGTGACGACGAAGACGACGACGTCGAGCAGGACTCAAAACTAGAGGAGAATTCAGAAAATAAATTAACAAATTCAGACGACAAATGATAAAGCTTGAATTTTTTAATCTAACATGTACCAAGCGAATTTGACGGTTGCCCTGACAAATTAGTCATTTTTTGATGCAGTAGAATTGCTAGAAATAAATGTTAAAGGGCATAAGGAAAATGTTGTTGCTTTTGTCAAAGCCAAACTCCCTGGTAAAGCCCAAGACCTAATCTGCGATAATGACAAACTACAGGAAATTAAATTAAAAATTAAAAAATGAATAAAAACCGAAAATTTCCACTTGGTAACCGCGAAACTCTCAAACTTAAAACAAGGAGATAAAGAAAACTCAGAGTATGCAAAAGAAATTGAAGCGCTAGCAGGTGGCCTAAAGAAAGCTTACATAAGTGAGGGAGTTCCCGAAACTGTAGCTGAGGCGTATACTACCAACACAGCTGTTAAAACATTGGTCTCCAACTCAAGCTCTGAAAAAGTGAGAGTTATTATGGAGGCCGGCAATTTTGGTACTACGCAAGACGTTTTAACAAAGTTGGTTAGCATTAGTTCTGATAGAAGCGCCACCGTACTCTTTGCAGCACAGCGAAGAGGAAAGAGATTCCAAAACCGAGGACATTTTCAAAGGAGAGGGCAGTATAAAAACTACCGATCTCAGCAAAATTCGCATTACCGGAACTTTCGAGGTAACAGTCAAAATAGGTTTTTCGACGTAAGAAGTAGGCAAAGTCGAGGACATTTTCGAGGACGAAACAGAAACGAGCAATTCATAAGAGCATATGAGGCGGAAACAACGCATCAAAACCGTATGGATTCCCAACTGGGTCCTTTGGAGGAATCCTAAGAATATTTAACATGGACCTCTCTTTCGAATTTTGTAACTTTTAAGACTCAAATGACAAAAAATGAGACAGTTACTCTGCTGGTAGACACAGGTGCTGACATTTCACTATTTAAAAAGAATAAAATAACCCCGGAACTAGTTAACAGATCAGAAGCAAGCAGAATTAAAGGCATTACGGACGGATTAACGAACTCCATAGGGACCACAAAAACTAATATATATATATATATATATATATATATATATATATATATATATATATATATATTAGTTTTTGATATATATATATATATATATATATTAGTTTTTGATATATATATATATATATATATTGATAAATAGTACCAAGTGACTTCCAAAATAGATACTCAGTAGACGTTGTGACTTCATATATAACGATGTGACTTCCGATTTCGGAAGTCACTACGAAAAGTGCATTTTTTTAGCGCAATGTCATATAGAGGTCGAAAAAAGCGTTATTTCAAATTTTAGGTTGGAAGTCAGTGCGTGCCATATATACCTACAAAACTTTCCTTTAGTTCGGGTATATACCGCTGGCGCTGTTGTCGCTACAAATATTTAACAAACGGTACGATTTGACTTCCGCGTGGGCATGACAATATAACTATCTTTGTTGTGCTTGCAGTTCACGCTATACCTAACTCTCTCTTGTTAAATCGGCGTTGCCAAATCTTTATTCTCATTCCTTTAATTAGTAGAGTGATATTAATATCTCATAGCGCTGAGACGCTGCGAGACATTTAAGATCTGCCGCCTTTGGCTTTGAATCACTGCTTTTTTCCTTTATTCATTTTGTATAACAAAAATAATATTAGTTATAACAAATTAATATTATAACAAATAAAGGTTGTATTCCGTAATTAAGTTTGTATTTGCTAAACAGCTGAGAATAATTATTTTATTTAATATTGATGAAATATTATTAATATTATATTAATCAAAATATTTCCTAGTAGGTATAATACAATACAATACAATTATTGTCGTCCGCGTCGAAAAATTTATTTACAATTTTATTTTCCATATTTTCCCTGCTGCTGTGTTGCCCGATTTTGAATGTGAAATTATTGTACCAAAATTATCGTTTTTGAACTTATTATGGTACGGTATGGAAAAAGGACAAATGAACTATGAAATTTAAGTAGGTAGTTTAATATGCAGTTATATTTTTTTTAAACAAAAGTGTAAAATAAAACCAATTATATCATTTTTACCTAATACAACAAAAAATACCTAAAGCACTGTACTTTATATTAAAATAATGAAGATATTAAAATATTTATCTTCAATCGGTTATTGTTGTTAACACTCGTTATTGTAACTAAAGTCACTTAAAAATGATTTATATCAAACAGGTTGCGTTATTTACAGCCTAGGCTGTAAAAATCATTTTTTCTACTTTGGATCAATAAAAAAAATCTAATCGACGTTGCCGGTGGGGCCTGCCATACGTTCCTTATACTAATACTAGTACAAAAAAACATCTCACCCCGTTTCCCCAACTCACACAACATGGACATTTTATTCAACCCTCACTAAAAAAACCTTTGGAGGACCCAATTAAAAAATAATAATTTCTGAAAAACTTCGTTGATTTTCATGGATTTTTATTGGGAATTACACCACCTAGAACAGTGATGGCGAACCTTTTTTAGTGTGCGTTAGGGTGGGCCGAAAAAATTACTTTTTGAATTCAATTTAGGGGTACCAAAAAAAAGTTTCCTTATGCCAAAAGTAGTTTGTAAAAAAAAATTAGCGTACTAGCCCAATTTTTAAGGGTCCCCCTGGGGGCCTAAAATATTATTTTTTTATATTTTTTTTGGGGT